ATGATGACTTTTTCTTTTTTGATAAGGTTATTAGTTATATTAACAAGATTATCTTAAGATATAGTGGGACTTGATTATCATAGACAGTATAACTTTTATAAATTAATTTCTAAAACTTCTTTTGAAAAATTACTCTGTTAAGAAATTCTAGTGTAAATTCTGGCGATAAAAGTAAAAGGATCTAAATAGTTTATAATAAAAAGGTGTATTGGTCATGGTGAATATTGTGTGAGCACGTGTACATGTAAGCACATGTAAAATCTGGGGAATTACAAGGGTTAGAGTTGCTAATTCACTTTTTCCAGATATGGAGCTTGACTCTTCAAATTCCAAGTCCCTTCACTAGGGAATAATATCTATCTTAGCATTCCCCCAGTCTCTAACTGGTGCAATGCAGAGTAGTTGCTCTGTGAATAGTTAGTGACTTGTTTCTATTTGATACTTGCCTCTTTTCTATGTTTAGGCATTTTTCTGACTTTAAAATTCATTGCCTACTGCAGAGAAAGACATAAGCTACAAATTAAATGTTTCCCTGTAGACTAGAAATATTCAGCAATGTATTCATTACAGTGAAAGTCTAATATAAAAGACTTGAATGATCTTATGTAATTTTTTGAAATACGATTTACTATCTTAGTGGTATCATATAAGTAAAACTAAGCAGAGATGTTAGATGTATTTCCTCTGTTGTTATGTAAAAGATCAAGTAGAAATCAGAGAGAAATATATTTTAAATGCTTCAGGAATGGCCTATTCCTGGATATTTGTGTTGTGGGTTAGGATGTTTACTAAAAGCCATTTTAAATAAGAAGTATGAAATTTAGTTATGAAAAATGATAATACCAGGGATCATTTTTTAAAAAAAGACAACCATCCAAACAACATTATATAAAGACAAAAGACTATAATTACAGGCCTTCCCATTGGCCACTGAAAAGTAGGGTTCTACTAACAGTAGCTTTCCTCGATTGTGTACTAATCTGCCCTAGGGCTGTGCATGCATTATATCATGTAATAATCCTCTCTTGAGGGATCCCCTAAAAGACAGCACTATGTATTATTTCTGTTGTGCTGTTAAAGAAAGTAAGCCTTAGAGAAGTTAAATAACTTGTCCAGAATTATACATAGTGAGTGACAGAGTAAGAGTTGAACCCAGGTCTATAGGACTCTAGACCAGCACTGCACAATGGAACTTTCAGCATTGATGGAAATGTTCCATATCTGTACCATCCTATTTGGTAGCCACCAGCCCCAAGAGACTGTTGAACACTTGAAATACGACTAGTCCAACTAAAGAACTGAATTAAAAATTTTTATTTAAATTAAAAGAGCCTCATGGGGCTAGTGGCTACTGTATTGGACAGCACAGCTCTAGAACTTCCTAAAATGTGCTTAATCGCTCACCAATACCTCCTTAATTCTCTTTTCCTATTACATGCTAAACAAAAGATGTAATAGGAGAAAAAAGAGTAAGGAAGTCTTACCAGAGGTGCTTACCAGAGGCTGAGGGTGGGGAGTGCCAAAGAGAGACTTGGGTCAGTGTGCACAGTTACAATTAGGAGGAACAAGTTCTCGTGTGCTAGAACACAGGAAGGTGACTATGGTTAATAGCTAAAAGAGAGGGCTTTAAATAGCTAAAAGAGAGGGCTCTACATGTTTTTCACCATAAAGAATTGATAAATATTAAAGGTAATGAATTTGTTAATTACCCTGATTTTAGCAGTTCACCACATATACACGTATCAAAACTTCACATTATACCCTATAAATATATACAATTGTTATTTGTCAATAATATTGAAAATAAAATTATTTTTAAAATACGATGTTCAAATCTCACCTCAGACCTATTGAATCAGTCTCAGGGTATGAGGCCTTGAACACTGAGACTGAAATGCTCCCCGGTTATCCTGACTTGTTTCAGCATCTGAACCAAAATACTCTGAAAGTTCTTGACAAGAAAATTATTAACTGGGCATATGCCAACATCAGAAGTAGCCTATAATAACAATGATGATAGTATTACAAAGTTCCATTGTTCTTTCAGAACTTTAACATTGATTAGCATCTGTGTTAGTTGATGGCAGTTCATCACTCAAGAAACATTCAACTAATTTATTTGTTTAATCATTACTTATAATTTGATATGAAGTACAAGAAATGTGATACAAAATACAGGAGCCTTAAGAAAGAAGTACTTGATTTATTTACTTGTTCTTGAATTTATGGCTTATAAAAATTAGATACTATAATTTTTTCCCCTCCTCAGGTCACTAATGCTCTTATAATCATTTGTCAGTATTTTAACAGTATAAAACTTTATCAAAAAATATTTTAAATATTCATTTTTTTTTTTTTTTTTTTTTGAGATGGAGTCTCGCTCTGTCGCCGAGGCTGGAGTACAATGGCATGATCTCGGTTCACTGTAACCTCCACCTCCTGGGTTCAAACGATTCTCCTGCCTCAGTCCCCCGAGTAGCGGGACTACAGGCGTGTACCACCATGCCCAGCTAAATTTTTTTTTTTTTTTTTTTTTGTATTTTTAGTAGAGATATGATTTCACCATATTAGCCAGGATGGCCTCAATCTCCTGACCTGTGATCCACCCGCCTCAGCCTCCCAGAGTGCTGGGATTACAGGCGTGAGCCACTGCAAAATCTTCAAATTATTATTCATCAAAACCACCATTATTTTTTTGCTTATGTTATGCTGTCTCCTAAATTTTAAAATAGTTTCTAATTCTCGTTTATTTGTATAAACAATATGTAATTACATACTATTCAACCCATTTTTATAATAACGATCTTAAATGTGAAGTCGAGTATTACTTGACTTGAATTTTCCAAGTCATTACACCAGTAATATTCATAGTGTACAACACATCCTTTCTCGACAATATACGTTTGACTTCTGTTGTCATTACTGACAATTGTCTTCCAAGGGCATTTATCTGATGCCCATGTTTGTATGGTACTGAAAATACATCAGACTAGGAGGATTTAGGAAAGAATATTTATCAGTTAAGGCATTGTTAACTTCTAAAACAGATAAATCTTAGTTCAATGTGAATGTTCTTGCTTTAGTGATCTTTTGTGTATTTTACTTCTTCCTTTTTCTAAGTCTTCAGTCCTCTCCCTTCAACCTATGGATAGAGAAAGAAAATACGGAAAAGCCATACCTGTTCTTAGCCACTTTAAGGTGAACTGTGTGATGTAATAGTTCATTTCCATAAGAACACACCTATTTGCAAGAGGGGCTGGGAAATGTAGTTTAGCTATATTCTCAGGGGGAAAAAGGGATGTTTTGGTGAACACATAGCAGTTTCTGTGATAGCCCTATCTCTGCCATGAATGAACTCTGACTCTTGGCAAGGCACTTAATCTCCTTGGCTTCAGTTCCCTTTACTTTAAAAGTAAGAAACATGATGACTTTTTCTTTTTTGATAAGGTTATTAGTTATATTAACAAGATTATCTTAAGATATAGTGGGACTTGATTCAACAAAGCATGTATCACAACCATAATATCCTTAAAAGAAGATCTGATGAGAAATGAGAACTAAGTTATGGCACAGCCAGTGGTTTTACAGTTAATTGCATAACCAACCGACTTTAATTACTTGATTTAAGTGATCCTGGAGAGGAGAACTGGGGGTAAGAGTGAGGAGAAATGTGTGCTCAGGACTTCATTCTTAGTCCTAACCTTTTCGCTTTTTCACAGTTTTTATCAGTAAATCATATGAAAATGGAACATAAGGCCGGGTGCGGTGGCTCATGCCTGTAATCCCAGCACTTTGGGAGGCTGAGGCAGGCAGATCTCCTGAGGTCAGGAGTTCAAGACCAGCCTGACCAACATGGAGAAACCCCATCTCTACTAAAAATACAAAAGTAGCCGGGCATGGTGGTGCATGCTTGTAATCTCAGCTACTTAGGAGGCTGAGGCAGGAGAATTGCTTGAACCCAGGAAGTGGAGGTTGCGGTGGGCCGAGATCACACCATTGCACTCCATTCTGGGCAACAAGAGTGAAATTCCATCAAAAAAAAAAAAAGAAAGAAAGAAAGAAAGAAAACAGAACATAGAACTCAGAACTCATACTCTTCAAATTATAATTTAGAAATTTCAAATGATTTTTTAGACAGTTATATTAGGCTATCAAATTCTTTCAACCTGTAATATAAGTTATAGATTACCTGGGCTTTTGAGGACTGGACAGAGAACCAAAAGAATTATTTATAACACTATTTTTATGACAATATATTTTTTAATGAACTTGACTTGAATTTGTATCTCCAAAATAATTTAATTGCCTTTCTGCCTTCAAAGATGAGTTATCTCTTATATCCTTAAATACAATGTTAGGAGATACGGTTATCAATATGAATATAGCTCACTCTTTTTCAGCAGAGACATTGGCTTTAACAGACAAAAGACCTCACAAAAAGATACTACAAAGAATACGTGTAGCAATTAATTAACAGTTTAAATTCACTTACAGTGTTTACAGGAATCATAACTTAAGGCATCATTGATTTTTAAGAGACTAAAATGAATGATTATACATTAATATTGATTGGTAGCATGATTTCTTCTATTACATTTGAAGGCTTTCAAAGGACTTAATAGCAAAGATCTTTTTAATGTGACAGTGATATTTCAAAATGTGTATTTTTTTTCTTTTCAGGACTTCCAATAGTAGTCAAACATTATCATCCTGTCATACTATGGAGCCATGTTCATCAGATGAATTTTTCCAAGCCCTTAATCATGCTGAACAAACATTTAAAAAAATGGAAAACTATTTGAGACATAAACAGTTGTGCGATGTAATTTTGGTGGCTGGTGATCGCAGAATTCCAGCTCACAGGTAGTTGTTTTCTATATTTCTGTAAGTGTTAAGTATTTCCTCGGTAATTTAGATATGTATATTGTGGTAACCTACTTCAATTGACTATTATGTTTTGGGGAAGGGGAATTTCCATCTTCATGGAATTCCCATCAAGAAAACAGTGCATATGAAATTATTACATGTTTGGTGATCCTAAAAGGGTTATTGTCCTGCCGTAGAAGCACAGTAACAAAACATACTAGCCTCAGATAAGTTGGTACTGTTTGGTATAGACTTCAGTTACTATAAGAAGCTTTTGTGCGATATTCTACGTATTAAATACTTTAAGTAAACTCAATGGCAGTTAAAGCTTGTGGATTTAGAAGAAAAGCTGGTGAAGTGGAGTAGCACAAAGTCTTAGAGTTTTTAAAATAGACATATCTATCCCAATTTCTGTTTGCTGATTTCCAAGAAGTATGAAAAGCAGTGCTAGGGAAAAAAAGCCTTTACTACAAATTACATATTATTTCTTGAAGTAAGAAAAGGAAAAGAACTGTTTAATAAAAAATAATTCATTTTCTTAAAATTCTGTATTCAATTGTTCATTGTTAATCACCACTATGATTCTCAAAGGTTTTTTTCTTTTCTGGATGCCCTTCAAAACTAATTAACACTCTGTCCCAAAGGTTTTTTTTTTAAAAAAAAAAAAAAAAAAAACCCTCCAAAGTGAGATAACATTGGGAAAAGCCTTCTAGACATTGGCTTAGGCAAAGACTTCATGACCGAGAACCCAAAAGCAAATGCAACAAAAACAAAGATAAATAGATGGGACTTAATTAAACTAAAAAACTTCTGCACAGCAAAAAAAAGAATGTCTGTGAGTTAACAGACAACCCACAGAGAGTGAGAAAATCTTCACAATCTATACATCCAACAAAGGACTAATATCCAGAATCTACCAAAAAGCTCAAATCAGAAAAGAAAAACAAAAACAAAAACAAAAACAGTCCCATCAAAAAGTGGGCTAAGGACATGAATAGATAGTTCTCAAAAGAAGATACACAAATGGCCAACAAACATATGAAAACGTGGTTAACGTCACTAATGATCGGGGAGTGCAAATCAGAACCACAATGCAATACCACCTTACTCTTGAAAGAATGGCCACGGTCATGAAATCAAAAAATAATCAATGCGGCATAGATATTGCTGAAAAGGGAACACTTTTACACTGTTGGCAGGAATGCACACTAGTACAAACACTACAGAAAACAGTGGAGATTCCTTAAAGAACTAAAAGTAAAAAAAAACAAAAACAAAAAAACAAAAAAAAACTAACAGTAGATCTACCAATTGATCCAGCAATACCAGCTATCAATTGAGAGGAAAAGAAGTTATGAAAAAGATATTTGCACACAGGTTTATAGCAGCACAGTTTTCAATTGCAAAAATATAGAACCAGCCCAAATGCCTATCAATCAACGAGTGGATAAAGAGTGGACATATATCATGGAATACTACTCACCCACAAAAAGGAACGAAATAATGGGATTCTCAGCAACCTGGATGGAACTGGGGACTTAAGTGAAGTAACTCAAGAATGGAAAACCAAACATCATATGTTCTCACTCATAAGTGGGGGCTAAGCTATGAGGATGCAAAGGCATAAGAATGATACAGTGAGGCCAGGCGTGATGGCTCACATCTGTAATCCCAGCACTTTGGGAGGCTGAGGCAGGTGGATCACGAGGTCAGAAGTTCAAGACCAGCCTGATCAAGATGGTGAAACACCATCTTTACTAAAAATACAAAAATTAGCCAGGCGTGGTGGCAGGTGCCTGTAATCTCAACTACTCAGGAGGCCGAGGCAGGAGAATTGCTTGAACCCAGATGATGGAGGTTGCAGTGAACCGAGATCATGCCACTGCACTCCAGCCTGGGCGACAGAGTGAGACTTTGTCTCAAAAAAAAAAAAAAAAAGAATGATACAATGGGCCGAGCATGGTGGCTCAGGACCTGTAATCCTAGCACTTTGGAAGGCTGAGGTGGATCACTTGAGGCCAGGAGTTCCAGACCAGCCTGGCCAACATGGCAAAGCCCCGTCTCTACTAAAAACTAGCCAGGCGTGGTGGCGTGAACCTGTAGTCCCAGCCACTTGGGAGGCTGAGTTATGAGTATTGCTTGATTCTGGGAGGCAGAGGATGCAGTGAGCCAAGATCATGCCACTGCACTCCAGCCTGGGTGACAGAGTGAGACTCTGTCTCCCCCGCCCCCCCCCCAAAAAAAGAATGATACAATGGACTTTGGGGACTTAGGGGATAGGGTGGGAGGGGAGTAAGGGATAAAAGACTACACATTGGGTACAGTGTACTCTGCTTGGGGGATGGGTGCACCAAAATCTCAGAAATTACCACTAAAGAACTATTCATGTAACAAAACACTACCCATTGCCCAAAAACCTATTGAAATTAAAAAAAAATAAAAAACTTTCCGAAGTGGAAATAAAATCATTAGGAAGAATTGGCTTGGTATTACAGTTTTCAGTGACTCAATTAGCATTCATTTATTGAGATACTACTATATACTGTGACAGAAAGTCCAGGTTATGAACATGGGTTTGTTAGAAAAGCTGTTTCAACCTGAATTTCATAGAAGCGCCTCAAATTCTGTATTTCCAAAACTGAACTCATTACCTTACCTGCCATGCTTGTGTGAGCCATCAACATCTCACTTAGATGACTGATGCAAAAGCCTCCCAACTGGTCTCCCTGCCTCCACTCTTTGCCCCTACATTCTGTTTTAACATAGCTACCTGGGTGATCCTTTAAAGTGGAACACAGATTCAGTCATTTCTTTGATCGAATCTTTCATTGACTCCTCATGTCACTGGGTGTGAAAGATGAAGTACATGCAATGGCGTATGCGATCCAGCCTGCCGTATCGCTCTAGTATTGTCCTGTTGGTCTCTGTCTTGCTCAGTCAGCATCAGCCACTCAACCTCTTGTAGTTCCTTGCATGTGCCTGGCGTGCTGCTCCTGCCTTTGGATTTTTGCACTATTTCTTCTGCCTGAAGGCTATTCCCAGTTACCTGCATGACCAAATCCTAAACCTCCTTCAGATCTTTTCCCATGTCACTTTCCAGTGAGACCACCTATTTAAACTCACCACCCTTTCCCCATTTGCCTTTGCCCTACTTTTTTTCCCCTTAGCACTTATCACCTCTTAATATACTATAGAATTTACTTCTCCCTACCCTCTAAATGTAAGACTCCACAAGGGAAGGGGTCTTTTGTCTTATTTTGTACCCTGATGTATCTCAAGTATCTAGAACAGTACCCAGTACTTATTGGACACACATCAGTATTTGTTCATTGAATGAATGAATGAATGAATGAATGAATAGGCAATTTTCTGAAGAAGCAACCGGTGGCCAATAAGCATTTGAAAAACCTCACTAGAGATCAGATAAATGAAAATTGAAACAACAATGAGATAGCATTTAACACTACATAGATAGCCAAAAATTTTAACATCTGATAATATTATGGGGAAAATGTTAGCCTTATATAGTGCTGGTGGGGTCTAAATTGGTACCTTACTTTGGCAAATCTTATGACTCAGCAATGCCACTCCTGGAGAGGTAAGAAAATGGAATTAGAGAGGTACCCAATGATTATCTGTATCATAATCCTTATTACTTTTAAAAATGAAAATACTTATTTAAAATCTATTTAAGTGTGCTGACATGGAAATGTCTTCAAGACATTATCCAGTGAAAAAAATGCCTGTTTCAAAAATAAGGCCGGGTGCCTTGACTCACGCCTATAATCCCAGCTCTTTGGGAGGCCCAGGCGGGCTGATCACTTAAGGCCAGGAGTTCAAGACCAACCTCGCCATCATGGCAAAACTCCGTCTCTACTAAAAATAAAAAACTTAGCTGGACATGGTGGCCATCTCTGTAATCCCAGCTACTCGGGAGGCCAAGGCAGGAGAATTGCTTGAACCTGGGAAACAGAGGTTGCAGTGAGCCGAGATCACAGCACTCCAGCCTAGGAGACAGAATGAGACTCTGTCTCAAAAAAAAAAAAAAAAATTATAATTTAAATGTATTATATATGACCATCAAAAACTTAGAGACATAGCTAATATATTTTATAATTGTATTATAAAAAATATAGTTTTATAGTGTTATTACAACATAATTTTTAACAAAATGCAGACTAAGATAATAATAGACTATTACAAAAGTTTAAAACTTGCTAGCAAAAACCATTTTCAAATGTCTCCTATATATTCACTACTCTATAATTAAATTTTTTTAAAATGGCTTACTTTATTTTCAAAAGTGATAAGCAAACAATAACTTTTACATTTTTTCCTTTATATAGTTGATTTGATGCTATGGGCTTGTAGCTTGTTTTCTGGATGTTATAAAGCATGATTTGAGTAGTGAGCTGGTAAAGCATTCACCTCAGCAGAAAATTTGGTATTGGTAATTTATTATTCAAAGGAAGGAACTAGAGCATAAAGCAATTTGTCAAGCTTAAAACGCATTTCCTAGTACCATGCACTATGAGTAACAAATAAAAAAAGAAGCAGCAGCATTTATTAATGAACATCAACTTGAATGTGGTCGTTGATTTTTTTTTTCCTAATGTGTTCTCAGATTGGTGCTCTCCTCTGTCTCAGACTATTTTGCTGCCATGTTTACTAATGATGTCAGAGAAGCAAGACAAGAAGAAATAAAAATGGAAGGTGTAGAACCAAATTCATTGTGGTCCTTGATCCAGTATGCTTATACAGGTAACAAGTCTGAAAATGTAAATTAAAACCTCTTAGATTTATGTTGTATTATTAGATTTCGGATTTCTGTTTTTAGAAAGCATGCGATAGCTAACAGTTAAGTCTGCCATTGTCATCACTACCCTTTTGTATTTAACCTGGTGATAAATTAAAATCTCCATATTAAAACCTTTAAAATTGTTATCATAATTAAGTTTTTGAATGGCCCTTTAAAATGCTAATATAAAAATTAAATTAATTGTGTAGTGTCAGATTTTTACATTTAAAATTTGAGAGTTGGCCAGATGCAGTGGCTTACACCTGTAAACCCCAGCACTTCGGGAAGCTGAGGCGGGACAGATGATCGCTTGAGCCCAGGATTTCAATGCTGCAGTGAGCCATTGGTTACACCACTGCACTCCAGCCTGGACAATAGAAAAGACCCTGTCTCAAAAAAAAAAAAAAAAAAAAAAATTGAGAGTTACACAGGTATATAGTACATGTAAGTTACTAAGTTACTAACTAATGTATCATTTTAAAATTCTGAAAATAAGCCATTAATTTTTATTTTAGTAGATGTCTAAAGGAGCTAATAATTTTTTCTCCATTTAGTCCTTTTTTTCATTTTGGGATGTCTTAAACCATGTAGGTCAGTAATGCATGTAATGAGCTCTTACATGGAACCACCACTGTTAACATCAGTTATTTTATAAAATAAGGTTAATGTAGTTCCATAGCTAATGGAATTTCTTTTTATCATTAAGGCCGCCTTGAATTAAAAGAAGATAATATTGAGTGCCTGTTATCTACAGCTTGCCTTCTTCAGCTTTCACAGGTTGTAGAAGCATGCTGTAAGTTTTTAATGAAACAGCTTCATCCATCCAACTGTCTTGGAATTCGTTCTTTTGCTGATGCCCAAGGTTGTACAGATTTGCATAAAGTGGCTCACAATTATACTATGGTATGTATTTTTTGAAAGTATCCTTCAAATGCATATTTCTTATTGTTGCAGGCTTATCTACATGTTACTGTTTTCCCATGGCTCTGCCACATGTCTTGAGATTGAGTTTCATTGCCTAGTGTGTCATATTTTCATTGAGTTATAATGGGAAAGCACCGAGTAATACTTCTCCTGGGTGTATGAATCAAGCCCTAAAGCAGTCCCTGGGAAACAGAACAGTGGCCTAGGCCTGTTCCATTAAGATTTTCAGATTTGCTGCTTTTTAAAATAGGACTCTCCCCAAACATTTTACTTTGCTGCACATAGATGAATTTCAGGACTGTATTCACTGATAGAAATTGGTGACAGAGGTTGCAGCATATTGGTAGAGGATGAATGGGAGGCTTTTTGTTAAGGATAAATCTGACTATGTATAAAGTATTTACAGCCATGTATAATGATGTTTTTATTCATTATAGCAAATTATGTGCTCAATAAATCATAGAGGAGGTTCTGATTCAGTAGCCTGAAGGATAATAAAACGAAATAATCTGTATAAACCCCCATGATAGAAGTGTACCTGTATAGCAAATCTTCACATGTACCCCTGAACTTAAAAGTTAAAAAATGGGTTGACCTAGGAGAGTAAGAAAATAAGGTCATGTTGAGAGCATAGTGTTAGGACCACCCTGTATGGTCTTAACAGTAGAGGGGTGCAGGCAAGGGAGGGTGCATGGGTTTTTGAGGAATGTTCATGTTGCCACATTGTAACAGTTAGTTCTTCACATCTGAGCAATGACTGAAAACTGTTGCTTTAAATGCTTCAGTTTAGGGCAATACAGTTTCTAAGAGAAGAAAAAATGTGAACATTCACATACATGTGTACAGTTGTGGATATTACTGATTTTATCAGCATTTAGGAAATGTTATTTTGCCTACCCTCTCCTTCATTGTTCCATTGAGTTGGGATATGAAAAGATTAAGAGTGCTTTAGGAATCTTTCATTAGAGAAATAGAGATTTGGAAAAATTTTAAGAATAGGTATTTACAAACTATTGGGAAGATCAGTTCTGTCTACTTCTTGAGCTTGGTGTGAGGATTAGATGAGTTAATAGAAGTTTAGCAGTCAGAACATTGATTGGCATGTCATATATCCAGTCAGTGAGTCTCATTCCATTGTTGTCATCATCATTATATAGATTTCCTCTATCCAACACAATAGAAATTTATGAGAGGGAACAAAAGCACTCACAAAACCACAGCCTTTATGATTGGTTTTCCTCCCTGTGGTGTAATCATTTTCTCAGGAATGTTTCTTGTTTATGATAGTCACAGAGCCTCAACTGGAAAAATAAGAGATTGTACAACAGGACAATAATATATAGCCCTAGTGTGCTATTATGTTGACGTTTTAAAAATTAAGTCCATTGAAATGTTTTTTTCCCTCAGTCTTTATCATTCTTTGTAGATTCTCATTTTAACCATACACCTGCAATTTCAACTACTTTTTTGAATGAGACGAGTATAAAGTTGGATTTTCTTCTTCATAATCAGTTTATAATTTGAATAATCATCTTTTTTCTAGGAAGGAGTTTTATTCAGGTGAAAACATTTGTATGCATTTAGGTCACTCCTGTTGTTTACAGTAGAGGCACGCTTGCTGCTTTAAGGCTTACACAGAAATTAAATTTAAATTAGCTGGATGTTTTTAAAGCTATTTTCATAGCCAATTAGTTGTGGTAGATTTTTTTTCTCAAGGCCATTATTTAACATTATTCAGTTTTAACAGAGACATGAAATTGAATTCTAATAACAATAAGTAATTTAGAGGCAGATTGTCTGATTTGAATTGTTGCTATGGGAACCAAATGAAAATGTATTGCAAAATTCAATCTTCAATTTAAGTAAATCCCTCCATAATTTCATTTGCTTAAAAACTATTCCAAAGGGGGAAAGGGCACAGTGCTAGCAAGTGTTTGGTAGCATGATGGTTGTGTGTATTTTAATATGGATTTAAAATATACAGCATAATACCACGCCAGTGAGTCCAATCAGTGAATAGTGCATGGACTGGGGACGTTCACTGATCCTGCACGAATACAAGTGGTAAAGGATGAGGAGTCCTCCCCAGGATCCATGAATCTGGAAACCTGTTTTCTCATTCTCCCTGCCACTGAACATGACCTGGAGCAAGTCATATAACCTCTAAAAAAGTCTTAAGACTGGTTGTATCATTACAACTATTTATTGTCATTTCGAATTTATGACACAAATAAAAACATTTAATTTTAAAACTTAAAATTGTCTTTCTCAATCTAGAAGACTTATAAAAAACATTGAGATCTGCTAAAGTAGCTGCTTCAAAACCAAATTAATACCTTTGAAAAATACTTTGTATTCAACCTTGATTGAGTTCAGTAGTATTTCATAAGTTGTTGAAAAACTCAATTTTCACTTAATGTAAATTATACTACAATGGAATGGGCATTATTCTGAAATAGATATATCAACAAATAATTTGTCAAGTGAATATTTACATGATAGTCCTTTTGTTACTGATGAAATCCAGTTAATGCCATTTGAAAGTATGGCATAGTTATACCAATGTATATATCTGTCGATTATACTTTATATGTTTAAGGAATTGGAAATACATGTTATTATTTCAGTTTCTTCACAGTCTCACCTAACATTTTATCATAAGTATCTTTCCATGTAGCTACGTGATCTTTGTCTTTGAAATTTTTAATGCTTATTTAATATACAGCTCCCCATAACTGAACATGTAGGCTATTTTCCATTTTTTACCATTGTAAATAATAATACAGAGAAGTATTGTTAGGTATTCGGCTTTGTTTTTTGCTTACAAATTATTTATTAAGGTTTAAATTACAAATGGGATAACTGGGTTGAGAGTTTCAACATTTTTGTAGCTCTTGCTATGTGTTACTAAAAGAATGTCAGTATGCAATTCAGTAGAACCTTTTGCTTGGAGCCATTCTGGCATTGAAGTTTTATTAAAATATGTTTCTGAAATGATGATCCATCATTTAAAATAGACTCATTTAGACATCCTTGAACAAATCATGATAAACTGAAGCAATTGAACTGCATTAATTATTCATGAATGGTTTTCCCCTTTAGAACTTCTACTGATAGGAATGCCAAGCTAATATATATTTTAGATCAGTACCTCACTCGGGTTACCACAGGCTATATGGAAAATATAATTCTCATTTTAATATAGAAGATAGTTATTGATAGTCCTTATCTCTAGCTCTAATTTAAACAGCCTTAGCTTCTTTAGTAAACCTCTGCATGCTGAGACAGCGATAATACATCAGGAAATATGAGAAAAACATTAAGGGACAATATGTGTCTAGCATTTGCATTTATATTATAACTATGTCAACTATCCATTCATTAAGACTTACAACCTTTCAAATCAGATGGTATGTTTTCCTTCTCTCCTGATTATTTAGCATAATAGCCTATCAAGGTCATCTCACACCTAACGGCATTTTTATTTCCCATTTCCAATTATAGAGGATTTGATTCTAACGTGAGGCCAGGACTGAGTCATCTAATGTCCTGATCCCAGGGCATTGTAGGTCACTACTTTTTTCCCCCTCTTTGGTCCTTTTTCCTATGAGACCAAAAGAGCTTTGTAAATTATATTAGAAGAGATTAAAAATTTAAAAACAGACACTTAGAACATATAACAAATTAAAAAACAGACCCTTAAAAGAGATTAAAAATTTGAAAACAGACCCAAAATCCTAGATGGTCTTATAAATATCATTAAAACAACCTTGAAGACCAATATGGTTGTAGTATAACCCTAAGGACAATACTCATTCCAGGGAGGATCTGAGAAGTCATCTGTGGTCTAGAAAGGTTCTGGAAAATCTAGCCACCCTGGAGGCCATTTCCTAGTTAGAGAAGTAACCAAGCTCTCTAGGTGTTTGGCTCCACTGCTGGCCAAATTCTTCAGCACCTACAAATCCAAACCACAAATCCAACCACTTCTCGTGTTAGAGTATCATACATCTCAGTGTCTAATTCATTTTTTCTCTCTTCCTTCAAAAGAATTGCCAAAAGTATTTCCTAACTTGAGTGAAGCAATACTTAAATGTCCCAGGTCCATTTTTTAAATGTAATAAGTGATATAACACTTTAATTCTACTTATATATGTTTAACAACATAATTGCAGTTTAATTTTTTTTTTCTCTGCTGTGTTTCTTTCCTAACAAGTAGTAGTACATTGTAAGGTCTAAAATATAAATTGGGTTTGGTAGCTAATACAAAAAGCTTTTACTTTCTTCTAAGTAAATTGTGATGGTCAGAAGGGACAATATTGTTTATCTGCTATTTCTTCCCTCTAGGAGCATTTCATGGAAGTAATCAGAAACCAGGAATTTGTATTATTACCAGCCAGCGAAATTGCAAAGCTCTTGGCAAGTGATGACATGAACATTCCTAATGAGGAGACAATATTGAATGCACTTCTTACTTGGGTCCGTCATGATTTGGAACAGAGACGGAAAGATCTAAGTAAACTTTTGGCTTATATTAGGCTACCTCTTCTTGCACCACAGGTAATTAATAGGTACTTGTTTGTTTGTTTGTTTGTTTTTTGAGACGGAGTCTCGCTCTGTCACCCAGGCTGGAGTGCAATGGCCGGATCTCAGCTCACTGCAAGCTCCGCCTCCCAGGTTCATGCCATTCTCCTGCCTCAGCCTCCCGAGTAGCTGGGACTATAGGCGCCCGCCACCTCGCCCGGCTAGTTTTTTGTATTTTTTAGTAGAGACGGGGTTTCACCGTGTTAGCCAGGATGGTCTCAATCTCCTGACCTCGTGATCCGCCCGTCTCGGCCTCCCAAAGTGCTGGGATTACAGGCATGAGCCACCGCGCCCGGCCATAGGTACTTGTTTATAGGAATTTTTCTTTGCCTATTCTATCAAAGAAAGTAATTTTACATGTATTCCTATGAAACATGTAGGTGAAAAGATAGTAGCTAACAAAATTCTGCTTATGTTTTCAGTCCAGAAGATCTAGCTACCTAAATTGCTTCAATTAAGTAACACTGGTTTTTTTTGTTTATTTTATTTTGAGATGGAGTCTTGCTTTGTTGCCCAGGCTGGAGTGCAGTGGCCCGATCTCAGGTCACTGCAACCTCTGCCTCCCCAGTTCAAGTTATTCTCCTGCCTCAGCCTCCCAAGTAGCTGGGATTACAGGTGCGTGACACCATGCCCAGCTAATTTTTATATTTTTTAGTAGAGATAGGGTTTCACCATATTGGCCAGACTGGTCTCAAACTCCTGACCTCAGGTGATCTGCCTGCCTCGGCCTCCCAAAGTGCTGAGATTACAGGCATGAGCCACCATGCCCATCCTCAGTTAAGTAACATTCTTGATTTGGGGTTAGTAATTTAATTGACTCAGCTACAAACCTATCCTACCAATTGGAGGAGAATTACTAAAACTGCTAATAAAAGGAGCACTGGACTCTAGAAACCAGAAAATTTAGCTTAATTTCTTTGCCACATGTTTAATAAAGTGTCCACAAAATATTGGATTCTGGTGATATATAGATTAGTAAGGTATATTAGTAGTCAAAGCTCTGACATTTCAGAACTCTGTGGCTTGGCATATTCACACAGCTCAGTTTCTTCATCTGTCAAGTAGAGATAATGTCTTCCCTGACAATCTCACAGGATTATTATAAGGATCAGAAACATGCTCTATTACATAAAATGTGCTATGAATAAAAATATTATTTCAGAATTAAGAGCTATCTAGTTGGTGCATTCAAGGGAATCAGTCATAACATTTACATGCATAGTTTTCCCCTTTTTACAATTTTCACTGGAGTATATAAAAATTTTCCCTGCATACTTTGCTGCCTATCTCAAGGCCTTGAATGGTGAAAGAGGTTTTGAAAGCAGAAAAAGAATGAGCTGTTACTGTTCAAGTTCAGACTTTCTTTTCCTTTTTTTAAAGTGTCATAAATGTTCTCTTATTTGCAGTTATCTTGAGCATAATGCATTATTTCCTGCTGTTGTGAGCAAAAGTTACTGTTCTTTACGTTACAGAGACAGTAATCAATGTGGATGCTTTGTAAGACCTTCCTCTTCAGAAATAGAATATTGTATAAATACATAGGACTGAAACTGCATGAGTTGATAATTCAGGAAAAGTAACATGATAAAATGTTTCTCTTGAAATCAGATTTTTAAAAGGGAGTTACATTTTTACTGCTACTTAGCAGATTTTAAAAAATTCTTTCTAGATGAAATCAAACCAAATCTGAAAAATCCTATTTGACTTTGAAACGAATCTGTGCAATTAAGTAACCTGACAATTTACTTCACTTCTCTAGTTTCAAATATTCATGATACTATATTTGCACAACTCTCATAGACCTTTAAAATATCTCTTATCTGGGATACTATGGTAATCCTAGCCATAAGTTCTTAGGGTTGAAAGGCGTTTTGGAGATCATTTGTTCCAACACCTGTTGTGCAAATGAAGTGACAGACCAAAAAAGTAAATCCATATGTTCAAAATCACAGTGTGATTGCATAAATTCCTCTCTTTCTGCATTGTGGTTTTAACTGGTTTTTGCTATTTGGCTAACATCGTAGGGCTAATAAGAGGCAGAGGTGGGACTTGAACCCAAGAACAGTTCTGTACCTTATCCACTAAACCAACCATTCTGCCTCTTGAATGTACTGTGTGTAAAATTGCTGGAGGTAGCAGGGAGATGGTATCAGATGGAGGAAGAAATAGATTAAAAAATAAATCAGTGATTATAATGAGATGAAGACTGTGACAGATACGTGAATGTGGCATTCTGAAAATAATGGAAGTAACCCACCCAAAAGAGGGGGGTTGACGAGAAAGCAGGGAGAACTTCTTACAGTGTTATTTGATCCACATTATGAATTAGCCACCCAAAAGAGGGGGTATGATAACCAGGAGAAATAGGAGCTGTACTTCATCATGAAGTCATGAGCAAATATATTGTATTTTGGAATGTGAAGGTAGTTTGCATTGCTAGAGTGCAGGAATAAAAGGGGATAAAGTCAAGAGATGAGGCTGAAGAGAGGAATGGACCAGAACATGGAGAACCTCTAGTTATGCCAAGGAGTTTGAATTTTATCCTGAAAGCAAGGAGGAAGCACTAAAGGATTTTTTAATAGGAAAGGCATAATTATAATTTTATTTCAGAAAGGTTACTGTAACTGCATTGTGGAGAATGGATCTGAGGGGTCAAAGCCAAAAACCCATTAGGAAGGCTTTTGGAATTCAGACAAGTGAATTAGGCACACTCTGGCAGTGGATATAGACAGAAATTACCAGGCTTAAGAGCTATTTATGAGGTCAGTTTGACAAAACTTAATGATTGAATGGTGAGGGTATACAGAAAGAGGAATTGAGACTGACTCTGATTTGTGCAATTAGGCTGATTAAAAGGTGCTCTCAATTGAAACAAGGAATATAGAATGAAGAGCTAATTCAGGGAATGGGGAAGGAAGTTGAAGAATCATGTTCCCAAAGCTTCTTGGCACCTTTAATTCTTTTAGAGTCTAAGGACTCTGAAGTCCTTAGACTTTTTTGAAAACTACTTCCTTAGATTGTTGAATCCAAAGGCAAGAGAATGAAACTGGCCAAGGAGTACACAAGAGTGCTTGGGATGGAACCCTAGGAGACACAATATATAGAGGTTGTTCCCAAACCTGGCTAAATAACTGGAGTGTTATTAAAAATTGATATCATACTTCAAAAAGGACGAAGTTTTATCATCATCCTTTGCTACAGAGAAGACAAGGAAGGGAAATCCAGTGGATTAGCCCAGTGGTTCTCAAAGTGTGATCCCTAACAGGAAGATCAGCACTACTTGGAACTTCTTGGAAATACAGATTAGGCCTCACCCCACACCTACTGAATATGAAACTCTGGGGCTGGGGCCTAGCAAATGGTGTTTTAATAAGTCTTCCAGTGGCTTTGATGCATCCTCAAGTGTGAGAACCATTGTCCACCATAAGTAGTGGTGATGGAAGCCACATTGCCTTGTATAATTTAAACAAGTTACTTTACCTCTCAGAACGTTTTTCTTTCCTACAGTGATAATACTGTGCTGCAGTACTGTGACATTTAGAGATACTGGCAGGGTTGTTTTTTTTCATTGCCAAAAGTGAATGGCAAGATTGCAGAATTAGAGTTATCAGATAATAAAGTTTTGAAGTAGACACTAAAATAATGAAGAAAGTGTTGGATTGTATCCTGTATGTTTTATTTTAAAAGGTAAGAAAATATAAGAATTATTAAATTGCCATATGCCAATCAAATAATAAATGACTAATATTTTTAAAATTCAGATTAGGTCTGGTTACCAAGAGAATTTATTTTTATAAAATAGCTCCTTTTCCAGTGATACCAACTAAATGAGATTTTATCCTACTCTGTTAATATGAAACATTCCACTTACCCTGGCTAGAAGGGATTCAACTTACATGCAGTAATTTTATCATAGTGTCTCCAACAGTAGATTCTTAAAATAATATAGGAAATAATGCCTGATGATCATTTTTGTATGGCTTTTTTTTTTTTTTTTTTTGACGGAGTTTTGCTCTTTTTGCCCAGGCTGGAGTGCAGTGATACAATCTTATCTCACTGCAACCTCTGCCTCCTGGGTTCAAGAGATTCTCCTGCCTCAGCCTCCCGAGTAGCTGGGATTAACAGACACAAGCCACCATGCCCAACTAATTTTGTATTTTTAGTAGAGATAGGGTTTCACCATGTTGGCCAGGCTAGTCTCAAACTCCTGACCTCAGGTGATCCACCTACCTCAGCCTCCCAAAATGCTGGGATTACAGGCGTTAGCCACCGTGCCCGACCTTTGTATGACTTTTTAAAAAACTCTGAATAATCCAGAAGAGAAGTATTTATGGTCATTTTATTTTATTATTTTGAGGCAGGGTCTCACTCTATTGCACAGGCTGGAGTGCTGTGGTATGATCATGGCTCACTGCAGCCTGAATCCCCTGGGCCCAAGAGATCCTCCCACCTCAGCCTCCTGAGTAGCTGGAACTACAGACACACACCACCAACAGCACCATGCCCAGCCAGTTTTTAAAATTTTTGTTTGTTTGTTTCTTTTTGATACAGAGTCTTGCTGTGTCGCACAGGCTGGAGTGCAGTGACGCGATCTCTGCTCACTGCAACCTCCATCTCCTGGGTTCAAGCGATTCTCGTACCTCAGCCTCCTGAGTAGCTGGGATTACAGGCACATGCCACTATGCCTGGCTAATTTTTGTATTTTTAGTAGAAACAGGGTTTACCATGTTGGCCAGGCTAGTCTCGAACTCCTGACCTCAAGAGATCCACCCACCTCAGTCTCCCAAAGTGCTGGGATTACAGGTGTGAGCCACGGTGCCCAGCCAGTTTTTAAAACTTTTTTGTGGAAATAGGGTCTCACCATGTTGCCCTGAGTGGTCTTCGACTACTGGACTCAAGTGATCCTCCCACCTCAGCTTCTCAAAGTACTATGATTGATTTTATCTTACTTTTGAAAGCATTCCAAACATTTCAAT